ACCATGGCGGAATGGAATGGAATTATGAACAACATCAACATCAACGAATAGGAGGATGGATGGACAAATTTGTGGAACATGTCATCGGGCTATCGGAAAACGCCAACTCACACTATCCTGCGCCTTGTGTGAGCAAAAGCATCATCTTATATGTCATCAGAATGTAAAAAGACCAGAAAGGGGGTACACATATAATAATGTTGTACCAAATTGGGTTTGCGCTAATTGTTCTCTACAAATTAATGAGGGATTGTGTCTTATTGGAACGGATTTTCTAAACTCATCAGCGCTACTGCAGGAGGACTACGTACCCCTCCAACCTCATACGTCGCAAGCCAACGTTACGAATCATTCTTCTCAAGATTATGCATCAAGTGGTAACAACTTATTTTATGGTCTATTGGATAAGAAAATAAGGGAATGCAAAGGTATTTTATTTGCACATGTTAATATCAATAGTATTAGAAATAAGTTTGAGGAGGTGTGCAATTTCCTACAAAAGCACACTATTGCTGTATTTGCGATTACTGAATCGAACCTAGACGCTGAAAGAGACTTAACGTGTATGTATCAAATTCCTGAGTATTATATGACAAGATTTGATAGGGATGTGAAGAAAGGTAAAAAGTCAGGTGGAGGTTTAATTATGTACATACATAATACGTTTAAATTTGATATTTTAGACATTGACTTTCTAATACCTGGTAGAACTCAACTAGCTATTTTGAAAGTTTATCGTGATTATATGAAGCCCTTACTTTTTACCGCGTTATATAATCCACCTGACACGGATAAAACGCAATTTCTGAAATGTTTTACTGATCTTAATGTATATTTATCGAGTTTTAAGTATGAAAGGATTACAGTGGGTGATTTTAATCTGAATTTGATTAGAAAAGGAGTATTTGATATAAATACGTATAAATTATTGTTATTAGCCAAAGAGTTTAATATGTACCAGTTAATTAAAGGACCTACACATAATAGTGGATCGCTCCTTGATCATATGTATGTGTCAAATAAGTCAGATTTCACACAATCCTTTCACTTACCATTCGCTGGATCTGACCATGATATCTGTGTTTCTGCGAGAAAGAAACTTAAAATTAAAGTATCTCCGAGAATTGTAACTTGTAGAAAATTTAGTGATATTGATTGGGACTTATTCAATAAGGACTTACAAAGTTATATGGAGAATGTAAACTGTGAAAATATTGATGTCAAACACCCTGTCAAAACTGATGTAGAATTCAATAATTTTTCTTTATATGTAATGAATACGCTTGATAAGCATGCTCCAAGTAAAAATAAGATAGTGAAGAGCAAGAATGTTCCATGGTTCAACTCCGAGATATGGAAATTGGTTAAACATAGGAATAGTCTCCTAAATGTAGCGAGAAAGTCGAATGATGATAAAAAATGGAAAATGTATCGTAAAGCCAGGAATAATGTGAGATATAATATGAATAAGGCAAAGAGAATGTATTTTCTAAACAAATTTGAGAATGTTACTGGTACTAAGAGTATGTGGAAATGTGTTGATGAATTAACTAGCTATACAAAGAAGGATTTGCAACCAATTAACTCTTTAGTTATAAATGACGTATGTACCTATGACAAAGTGGTGATGAATGATCATCTTGCTGAATGTTTTGAAGTGAATGATAATTTTATTACAAGTAATGATGATGAAATGAATGAGATGATTGAAAACTATTGTCAAAACTATGATTACTCAAAAAGTAGTAATTCTGATATTTTGCCGTTGGAAATTAAGGATGATGAGATTGAAACATGTATTTCGAAAATGAAAAATAAGCAACCTAGAGATGTTAAAATGCCACCCATCTCTGTTATTAAAAAATGTAGGGAAACATTTAGTGTCTATTTATCAATGTTTTTTATGTTCTTTATTAACAAATGTATATTGCCGCAGTCCTTTAAAGCTGCAAAAGTTACGCCTTTATATAAAGGAAAAGGAAGTCGATCGAGCGGTAAAAATTATAGACCTATATCTATTCTCCACATTTATTGTAAGATCTTTGAGAGGTTTCTATTCAATAGAATAAGTATCAGAGTTAAAAATTTGTTATGTGAAGAGCAGCATGGGTATAAGCAGAATAAGTCATGCATTACAGCCTTGAAAGAATTTACGAATTATGTTTATAGTGAGATTGAGAAGCCTAAAACGAAGGTTGTTGCTGTAATGATTGATTTTTCACAAGCTTTTAATTCACTTGACAAGAATGTATTAATTAAAAAACTAATGAATGAATTTAAAATAGAACCATGGTACATTTGTATAATTAGAGAAATATTCCGAAATCGTGTATTCCGTTTTTATAATGATGACAAGTATTATCATATGCCTAGAGGTTGCTGTCAGGGTAGTTCGCTCGGGGGACTTATATATAGTTTATTCTCTAATGACTTATCGAGGAGTATCGTGTGTAATATGTTAAGTTATGCGGATGATGTAATTTTATATGCAAGTGGTAATAATTCGGATGTTGTAATGGATGAAGTGTTTGCTCAATTCAAAAATGTATGTGACTGGTGTTTAGAAAATGGTATTACAGTTAACTATAGTAAGACAAAATATATGGTATTTTTTAAGGAGCATGATACAACTGAAAAATCTGAGAGAATGTTTTGTCAGGTAAATGGTGAGAATATTGAGCGTGTGTTTGAATTTAAATATTTAGGTATCTGGATTGATCCACACCTTAATTTTAAGAAACACTATGATGTTGTATGTAAGAAGGTTATAGCGAAATTGAAATATCTGAGAGGTGTTAAGCGGTATTTGAATGTTCATGTTTTAAAGATTATGATAAATGCATATGTACACTCAGTTATAAATTATGGTATTGAGATATGGGCTGTACAAACTGATACTCTCCTCATCGAACTCCAAAACAGAATAGACAGATTTATTTATGAATTTTTTGTGCATAAGTATGCTAAGAGGAAGTACAGACATAGGACTGACACACAATTTATTGATAAATTACGGAAAGATTGTAACTTTATGACAATATTAGTGAGAAGAGATTATGTCCTACTAAAATGTGCATATAAAGATATGATTGCAGGTAGTTGTAACTTCTCGTTAAGAAATAATGTACGTACTTTTCCACTAATGAATGTGGATACTTTCTCCTCTCAAATATATAAAAAATCTGTCAAATTTCGTACTACGAAGTTATGGAACGCGTTACCAAGAGATTTAGACGTAAGAAATATGTCATATGGGAAATTTAAAGAATTTTTATGTGAAGATATGCTGAAATAATTGTTTAAAAATAACGAAATGAAGATATATTAGTTAGTAGATATAGTTAGTTAGTAACATATTTGTATATTGTATGTGTCACTTGTGGAAGAGCATGGTTTGTTACTGTGAACTTGGTAGACACTTGAATAAAGCATAATCAATCAATCAATCAATCAATCGTTATTAGTTTTTCTACTTGGAAACATATTTTTGGGAACGATACTCTGCCTGACGTCGTATTTGCACTGTTTGTCCAGGTAAAAAGATTTTAATAAATACTTGCAAAACCTAAGGTTTTTGTACACATTTTCTTTAAATATCTAATTTAGTGTCAGCCCATTACCGGAAAATATTCCCACGATTTTCAAAACTTTCCAAAAATTGCGACTTTTGACGGCTCAAACTAATCTTTGTTTCCGGGCGGTAGATTTACCTGCTGTGTTATGTTTTCTCACGGGGATAAACATTTTCGGAGCGAGTTTAGCGTTTTCCCCGAATTTCGCCGAACCTGCGGCCCACTTAATGAGCTGTTTCGCAGTATTTATCGCAATCGAGTCCACAATTGGCATCCTCGGCTTGGGAACGCTTGCAGGACTGGTGAATAAAAGGTCGATTAAATGCATCAATAAAATGAGAAGGAAATCATTAAAGCTGAACAGTAAAAAATTGGGCAGACTTTACGGAAAAATTGTAAAATCATTGACCCCAATTAAGATATCGTTTGCTAACAATTTCATCCAAATTTCAACTCCGTTGGTGATAATGAGCTTTTGTGCAAAGTCGACGATGCGATTGTTATGTATTCATTGAGCAGTAAATAAAATAGATACATGATGAATTTGAATGTTTGAGCTAAACATCGAAGTATGTATGTATATATGTGTTCTAATTTTGAAAAATATAAAATGTGATGTTTACGAGTTGTGAAATTTTAAAATGAAAATCATGCAAATATATTCATATTTTTTATTTGTTACCATTTCATATTTGTTACCATTGCCAGTGACCTACCAACGCATCGCAACCACCTAAAAATCCGAGGTTCCCAAACTCTTAAAAAGTTTAATTTTTCAAAAAAAATAATGTCACCTGTCATCACCTGGTATACTTCTCTCCATAACTACAATAATTGTTCACCGCCTTGCATATAAGTATATATGTATATGTATAGAAATGCATGTAAATAAACATTACTGTATATCTGAATTTAATCTAAAAAATTTGAACATATATATTGAATTTATATGTTCAAATTTTTAAATTTAAATCCAATTCACGTATTGGTTGTGATTCATTTTTAAAAATTATCCATTTCATTCTTAATCGGGTTTGTGAAATCAAATACTTATGCACCTGTGACTGAACTACTGGAAATCGTGGACAAAAGCTAACCGAATTACTTACATATGTCCAGATCGTATTGATACATACGTATTGGCTGAGCAGTAGTTATAAATACATATATAGTGTCTAGTGTGCATAATTAATAATTACATCTGCCTAACAACTCAGGATCAGTAATGTGATAAGTGCATACTAAAATAGTATGTGAGTAGTAAGCATGCATGGAAATGATACGTGATTTGCATATCATGAGCTACATATATAAATATCTCAATCTCAAATGCACTTAGTTTGTATTTTAACTGTGGAACCAATTAATTCCTGCCCTGCTTAATAACTCTGTCTCGCCAATGCATTGGCATCTTAACGACCCGTCATAAAGGGATCATACATGGAGGATTTGGTTGATAAGATAATTCTGGTTCCCTTTAGATCAGCAGTTTTACCCCACTATGTGTCATTAACTTGGGAATTATGGTACGCCTTCACTCTTACAGCCCTTCAAATAGATCGCATCCCTTATGCACAATCCTTCCTTGACCAGACTAAATTTTTACAATGCACTGACAACGCGAATTGACAAGAATCAAGGCTAAACTGTGCAGTTGTCAAGTGAAACCAGTCCCGTTTTTTAATCACTCAATTTATTAAAAGTGCACACATTTGATAACACTCTTTTTAATTAATAAGGAATTTTTATCTGCTTCTCATTTTTATCTTCAAATCATGTCAATCCCAACAAATCATCCTGGTGAGTACATTTTCATTTATGTACATATTTATTTATTTATTATTGCGTATATTTATGCTTAAATTTCTTTATTAAGTAGCGTCAGCTACTTATTGTGATCGTTTTGTCCGTCCGTCCGTCTGTCTGTCCGTCTGTCCGTAAGCAGGATATCTCCAGAACGAGTCAACATAATCAGACCCCGTTTTCGCCATTCTGTTTCTAATTTTTAGTTCTCGGTCGAGTTCGGAAATTGGGTCAATCGCAGTACACCCAACGGCGCCAGGGGGTGTGGTCGAAATTAAATTGGACGTTAATTTTCATGTGGGGTGTCATTTTAAAGGAAATTTGACGGAGATTTCAAATATGTTAGTAGTTTTGACCTCATGACCTTGACGACGAGGTCAAAGGTCAAAAAATACACAATTGTCATATGGGGTGTCATTTTAAAGGAAATTTTATGGCGATTTCAAGGACGTTAATATTTCTGACCTCATGACCTTGAGATCAAGGTCGAGGGTCGATACATAATTGTCATGGGATATGGGATAATTTTAAAGGAAACTTGGATCACTCTGACGCTACTTTTTTATATTCGTTTGGAGGGTTTATTTTAACTGCAGATCCCACATTGCACGCATTGCAAACTTTGCTGCAAGAGACGATCCACTCGATTGGAAATGAAGATCAAGTGAAGAAAAATTTAAACACGGCGAAACAATTGCTCGATACGGCGAGGGTTCGATATGATGACGGAATTTTATCAAAATTTCGATTAGATGGACAAGTCGCCCTCGTCACGGGGGCCGGGCAAGGTAAATATTACAACAAAATTTAATATAAAGACGCATTTTGATTGCTGCTAAAAAATATTTGAATTTTTCCGATTTGGAACTTTTAAAAAATCAAGGAATTTGATGAATTTTAATTGCTCCTTTTGTGTAGGAATTGGTCGCGCCCTCGCGCACGCCTTGGGCGAGGCTGGATGCTCCGTAGTAATCGCGGACATTAATGCGACCACGGCTGCCACCGTGGCGTCGGAACTTGAGGCGAAAAATATTCAAAGCTTCGCGGTTAAGGTCGACATTTCAAAAAAGGAAGAAGTCGACGCCATGATGGAGGCGATATTGGCGAAATTTGGAAATTTGCATATTGCTTGTAACAATGCGGGAATCGCGTCCCAGTCAAAAGGCGAGGAGACGGAGGAGGTCGAGTGGGACACCATTTTGGGGGTTAATTTGAAGGGGACGTTCCATTGTTGTCAAGTAAGTTACAAAATAATTACGAATCGTCGTTGTTTAATGTGGATTAAAAAATGTATAGTAAAGTTGAGATTAGCAAATCTGCGAAAACAGTTTTGTTTCTGGAATTTGTTGTGACGAGAATTGCTTCACGAAATAATTTTTCGAAATAATTTTCAGTTGTTGGGTAAATTTGTGAAAAAAAATCACATGATTATCCAGAAGAGGGCTCCTAAAATCTCACAAATTTCACAAAACTTGGGAAATTGGGTATTATGAATCCGCACTCTACATACATACATATGACCAGATTGCCAATATTTTTAGTAACTCGAGTATTTTATACGGACTCCTCAACACAAATAAAAAAATATTTACAAATTGGTAACATTTTTTCAGGCTGAAGCGAAACATATGCTGAAAAATGGATATGGTCGCATCATCAATACGGCGTCGCTTTGTGCTAAGACCGTTGTCAAGCCGCAGTGTCAGGTCGTGTACAATTCATCTAAAGCAGCCGTTGTTCACATGACAAAAACCTTGGCGACGGAATGGGCCGGAAGAGGGGTGACGGTCAACTGTATTTCGCCGTAAGTCCATAAAATCTTTTATAAATTTGCAAAAATTTGATACTAAAAAAATTATGTGGTATTAATTTGCGTTTCTATTTTTGCTGCAGTGGTTACGTGGACACAGAACTGACGAGGGGAGAACACTTACAAGATTTCCGCGCCCAATGGATCCGTGACATCCCGATGAAGAGGTTGGCCGATGTGGCAGAGTTGACGGGGGCCGTGGTGTACTTGGCATCCCCCCTTGCCAGCTATACCACGGGGCTCGACTTCATCATCGATGGGGGTGCAACCCTCTGGTGAAAGTGTGATGGATATGTTTCTTGGAAATTATTTTTTTTTAACTGGACAAATTTTATTAGAGTTGCATACATAAATAAAATATGCATTTTACATTATTTTATAAATCTCTTAATTGATAATTATTATGTACTTACAAACTAAATATGGACAACTTCAATATGTAGTCGCTTAACATTGATTGGAACCTGCAATTGTGTGAACTTAGCAAACTCGTAGATACACTTTTTTTTAATTCGCATTAAAAAATATACCTATACAAAATATGACAAGTCTATATATGTAATTTTGATTTCTGAAGCAAAATTTTATAAAATTACTTTACAAACATGTATAAAGCAACAAATTGGAGTTACGTGTTATGTGCATATGGACATATGTACATATATACATACTTATACATAATGAATTTTTAGTTCATTATGTATTCTCATAGTCCCAATGCAATGGCGTTCATTTGTTACTTTGATAACCACATTTTTACACCAAGAATCTCCCAAAATATTTCACATTTTATATGTGGTACTTACCTAAAAAATCTATACATTTTACAAAAAAATTATTATACATACATATTTAGTAATCATATCGTAAATAAACACGCATCTTCCCATCTCATTGGAGTATGTACACTCTGCAGAAAATTACGTCGCAGTGATACATACATACATAAATGACATACAAATTTATTCCAGGCTGAACCAAAACTCTCCAATTTACTATTGGCATGGACACAACAATCATAAACGAAAATCCATTTTCATCACCAACATGTGAATAATCTGCATCCATGCAAATTGTCAATGTCAAGATATGTCTCACAACATGAATTCAAGTTCATGTCACACATTTAAGTATAAGCTTGCCTTACTTATTTTGTTGTTATGCTTACTTACGAGTGATGAGTCTCTTTTTTGCATCCTCCTTTTAAGGAATGCATAAAAAAACATACCACTCAAATCCTGTCCATGACACTCGTAACGAAAGTTTAGTTGCGATGAGAAAGGCTCGTGCAAAAAGTATGTGATCTATTTTTAAGGGGATAAGAGTCGAGATATGCTACCCTTTCCTCGTTGAGTTTGCAAGGTACAAAGGTCACCAGATTACCCAAAATTGTATGACATTCTTTACGCATGATTTCTCAGCGAGCAATCAATACATTAAAATATCATAATCTCGCTGAAATCTCGGCAAGTTTTGCAGGGTTTGCCAATTTTTATTTGAGTAAATCTGCAATAAGTGAATTTATGCACGCCAAATCAGAGTGTGCAATGGCAAAAAGGCATGCCGTGCCTAAAATGCCTTTTTGCCTATTAGGCACGTGAACTTTGGCCATGCCCGATTGCCCGAAATGCCGTTTTGCCTTTTTAGTAAAATCGGGGCAATGTGATAATACACTCCCAATTTTTAGTTTTTTCTTTATTTATTTTTTCTTCCATGATTTGTTAGTCATTAGTTGTAATCTTTCACAGGTCACAGGATTTGGACAGGTGTACAATTATTCACAAATACTCGCAATTATCATGAGTGCGTAAGGAAATAATGTTGTGAAGTAGTTGCGTAGAAGTGTATAGTTGGTAACGTTTTAGGAAAACCTAAATTTATAGCCAATTACACTGTTGTCACACTTTGTTGACCATAGCAAAATTTGTATAATGGTTCTGGCGATACCTAATACGGGCATACGGGAAAAGGCAAAAAGGCATCAAACGGGCAAAAAGGCACTCAAAAAGGCAATTCAGCATTGAAACGGGCAAAACGGCAAAAAGGCACGAATTTTTTCCCAAAAAGGCGCCTTTTTGCACACTCTGCGCCAAATTGGTAACCGCGCAATTTCGAAAAGTTCTTCTTTAAGAAATTTTTAAAACTACGTGTACATAAACTTACTATTAAGATGCACATTTGTAAAATTTTGTCAGAGAAATCTTCAATTTAATAAATTTCAGAAATTTTTCCAAAACTTTAGGTAAATTATGTATAAAAGAGAAAATGTAACTTGTAAAATCTAAATACGTGAATTTTTGAAAATAAATATGTATATGGAATGGATGATACACCTTGGGAACCCTACTTTTCGATTGGAATCCACTACTTCCCACTCATCTTTCCTTTTCCGTTCGTTCAGCCAAATTGGTTATTCATTCATGTTAACTTGATTTAGTCCGAACCGTTCTTTTTTGTTCTGGAGGAGGAGGAGACGTGGCGATTGTGATGGCAGATGTATAACAAATAATGATGGGTGTGTATCACCTCGGTCGACTTATTACATAATATTAATTGCTCTCACGCCAAACATGGGACCAGTCGCGATTTAGGCAACCCACTGACCACACACAGTTTTAAACCAAGCTTACCATTAAAATTAATTTGATACGATCCATAAGTTGGTAAATAACAAAATTATTGCAACCTCATTGGTAACAATTTTCCACTAAATGGTACTCAAAATTGTTCCCGAAACTCAAATCAGTGTAAAATTGCATGATTTGGCTTGAGTTTCTAGCACAAGTATTGTTCACATTTGGTGGAAAATTGGTACGAACGCGGTGACAATTTGTTACCAAGTTATATTCATTGATTCTGTAGATTTTGCAACTAAAAATGTGGCGAAACAGCCCCACGCCGTCGTCAACTTTTAGCTACAGCTACAACAGCAGCAGTGGTCGCAGTACGAGCAAAAGTCCGGATTCTTCGTATCGCTACGATGAGAGGACGACCTCCCCACTGGGAACTTTTTATCAGGATGACCATCACGATCTGGATATCGGAGATCGCGTCATTGTCCGAAGTTCGGTGGGAGATGCGAAAACGGGAATTTTGCAGTATGTGGGGAACGTTGATTTTGCAGAGGGTGAGTTGCAAAACAAAAGTTAAGGGCAAGTTGAGATTTCTACAATTTGCATACTGAAATTATTCGCTACGCTATTTAAGGCGGAGCAAATTTTGTAAATTTGCAAGCTAGCTGATATTCGCAATTTCTTAAAAAGTTATGAAATTCGAAAAAGTGAACCCAACTTTTTGCAGCATTTTAAAAGGATCTTCTTTAGTTAAGAAGTTGCACTGGCATAACACAATTTTTGCAAAAATTTAAATATGCAATAAAACCTTTAAATTGTTTCTAGGGATTTGGGCAGGCGTTGAGCTATTTTACCCGCAAGGCAGAAATGATGGGACTGTCGGTGGAGTAGAGTAAATTATTATTTTTTAAATTTTATAAAAAGTAAACCAAAATTCATAAGTTAAATTTTCTAATTCAGATACTTCCGGTGCAAACATCCGTACGGTATTTTTGTCCCGTTTCGCAAAGTGGACTGGAGCCCGGTGAACAGGATGGTGGTGAAGCGTCCGAGGGGTGAACATGACCATGAAAAGTGCGGAGACAAGTGCCAAATTCACGACAGGATTTACTGGAATACTGAAGCTCGCATGGGCAACAAGGTTATCGGAATTCGGAATCCGGCCTTGTAAATGGTCAAACTTGTTAAGAATTTAAAAATTTCAAATTTCAAATTATTAGAAATTTTCTCAACTTTGGTGGTGATCGTAATTCACACATATGTTCTTTGAATGTAAATAAAAGAAGTTCACTAATCTATTTAATTCCCGTGATTTGATTAGATGGAAACGTGTACTTTGGTTTCATAAAGAAAAAACAATACCATTAAATCGTCAATGTGTACATACATACCTGAGAGTACTAAATACATAAATTTTCATAAAACACAATGCAATCTTGAAATATCGAAAATGCAAATTCTAAATATGAAATTCAATACCATTTTTACTTAATTTCAATTCATTTTTATTTTTGTTCAACATGCGCAGTTCAACATATAATTTAAAAAACACATTCTAAAAAATCATAGATGTCTGGGCCCTTATACATATATTTGAATATGTATAGTTTGTATGTATGCATTTTAGTGTAAGTGCGTGTACTTTACGATCCACAATTACAGTTATTTGACAACTTGTCTGTTTAAGGAAAGGTATAATATAGAAATGTTATAGGTTTATCTATCACAAAAATAAATTACAAAAATTTGCATTAATGTATGTATCGAACTATGAAAAAATTCAGTGATAATCGAAATTATAATTTCCTATCAAGCAAACTATACATTTTTACTTTCTTGAGCATGTACATACACAAACCGTACATATATGGATTCTACATCCATATCCATCCTTGTCAAACATTTAAATAGCTTTCCTAATTTTAACCACATCTAACCATTTTACTCCTACATTCAAACCAGAAACACAAAGTAGAACCTGCAAGTACGAATCCGCATAGCATGAAAAGTGTCACAATGCCCGCATCCAATCCTAACGAGAATCTATCATCCTTGATTAGGGTAATTGCCTCGTCTCTATTCGCCATGGCCACAGATTCGACTTCTTTTTCTATGCGGGCATAAATTCCGGTTTCAATCAGGCCCTTATAATATTTTGGAACTTTGGATAAACCCTCGCTCTCGAATACTATTCCTTCCGGGAGTGGATTTAGTATCTCTTCTCCTTTGTGAAATTCCGTCCCGTAATAGCTCCATTCTAGGAAGTCAAACTCAAATTGTAAGTGTTCGGATTTAGCGATGAAAACTGCTTTTCGGGAACAATCGACAATTTCCGTTTCTATCTTTTGCTGCAAATCGGTTACCGTAAGATTTTTTGTTGAGTAGTCAATTTCTTTTGGGAAGTGGGCGTGACGTGGATTCAACAGTTGGAGCATTAACGCCAGATGGGGCCACTCAAGCAATGGAACCGATTCGGGACCTTTCGAGTTCAAGTGCTCGTGTAGAAGGTGATCAAACAAATCAGTTAGATAACGTAGAAACATAAAGTCGATGACTTGCTCCCCCGGAAATTTAACTGGGGATGACAACAATTTATAACAATTGGTAGAATCGTGTTGATTTTGCAAATCGACAAAACTTGTGTTGTAAACATTACCATAATTGAGAATACCTTGATAATATGTTGAAATAAGGTCGATTTTTAATTTTTCTCTCAAATTGACCAAGAAATCTGTCGAATTGTAATAAGACGACGAATGTATCGTACCACCATCGCATAAAAGATCTGCAAATGTTTCTGGAATTACTGAATTTAGTGGTGAATTCAGATTGGAGATCATTAATCCATTATAGCAATTCGTTAAGATGACTGACATTAGGCTCCAAAGACCAAAAATGTAGCGGAATATGATCAATTTATTAATCTTGCTCGGAACGTGGTGTGCTTCTTCTAAAAGCGTGGAAAGGACGAAAAGCCAGGGGGAAAACGAGACGTTTCCCACCTCCGCGAAGTGAACGTACATCCAAACAATGGCTATAATGAGGAAAAGGCAAATTCCTAGCCCCACCCATAAATCGGGCTGGAAAGGATCCACGTAGAAGCGAAAACTTAAATATGATTCTGCATAACAGGTTAAGAACTCAAACCCCGCGAATCTTAAGTTGACCGTGGTATAGTCCCAGTGGTACTCTTTAATATCGTATAATCCGATACGTGCCCGCTTGGTAATTTGTAAACCGACAAGAGTCGCATTAGCTTTGCGGAACACGGCCTGTGCCAAATGTTCAACCGTGTAAGGGAGGGAACGGTTAAACGGATTTAAAACATTGATATCATTAACTAACTTTATGTCCATTGTAAAATTTGCTTTCTGTAAATCAAAATCTTCCACTATGAAATACCAATATTTTGGCGGCGCCGATAAATTGATAAACGTCGTGATAAGATTGCCCATTTTATCCACACAATTCAAATTTCCCTCGTGAATGTCTTCTCCGTCTTGTCCCTTAACACAGAAATGTTCCAAGCTGCCCTCCCGAGAAATGTAGGCTATCCCCAAGTTGTAAACTTCTTTACTAAACCTTTCCAAATCCATGAACAAACTCAGACCACCCACTTTCTCACGATGCCCCACAACTACCGTAAAAATGTTCCTGTCACGGACGACGAAATATTCATTCTTAGAATCAGGATCGGGTCTAAAATAGAAATGTCCCTCATTTGCGAATTCCATCCATTCGTTCTGTCTACGCTGTTTTCGCCATTTTGAACTTAGCGAGGTAAAAAAGTTTATGAGAATTATGGCTGTTCGACACATAGCAGAACGTGATTTAGTCACATCGATTGCCGGGAATGTAAAAGGTGATGCTTCGCCAATGTCTAGCTGTTTATTCGGCAGAGGAAATAAAATTTCAGTTAGGAGGTGATTTCCGTTTGAGTGAAATGTCCTCGAGTCAATGCCATCGTGTAAGATGAGCAGGTCGCACGGGGAAATGTTATCGAGCAGATAATCAATCTGAATCATGTTGGCCGCCATGATAAGCGTTGCCTTAATTAGAATGATTAATGAGACTCCGTAACCACATAAACTTATCTACGACACTTACGAACAGCTCGCAGGTAATTTTTGCTTCAGTACAAAGCCATAAAAATATTAAAGGCGTGTCTTTTGCTAGTAAGCTGGTCTTCGTACTAAAGTTTACATGTTTACGGATTTACGAATGCCTCAATATAAAGTTTGTAACAAAATTTTCGGAAATATTTATAGAAATTTCGAGTCCAATATAATTAGCGTAATTAAAAACTTATAATTCCCGAAATATTCCGTACCAAAAAAAAACGACAATGTTCACTTGGCAGAAGAAAACTGTTTGCTTTATGTTCCATGGTAACCAATTGATGGAAATGCTGTCTAAAAATTCCATAGCAAACGATTTATACGTATAGATGTATGTACATATGTACATGTATATAAAAGTTTTAAAACAGAACTCGTTAGAGAATGTATCGATTTAGTGTTCTGTCTGATTACAATGTTTCTAGCCATAATTAGCTTGGCCAATGCTATTATCAGATTATTTGTTGTACAAATGAACAAATTTTTATATGCGAATAAGTATGTATGTACTCATTATTATACATACATTAAGGCATTGAACATGTATGTATACAGGCCAAACACTACAGTAATTATTATAAATACACCATCCAATTTTCTGTCGTTAATACGTAAGCATATTAAATATTTAAAACTTAGAACATTTACGGACAAATGAAGATTTTAATTGTCAATTCGTGGAGAAGAATCTCATTAACTCGTTGCAACAGGAAGCGTGGAGAGAAAAGACATTTATGTATATATGTATATTCTGTACACCAAGTCAAATTTATGACATGATATTGGCAAAATTTTATAAAAATTTGAAATATTTGCATATGTAAGTTATAAAGCAAAATATGCAGTAACCTCATCCAACTATTTAGAAACACAATTTACTCAACTATTGAGTAAATCTTACATGTCATGGAAGACCGTAATCGACAAAAATTATACCGAATAGAGAATTCTTTTCAAATGAGGCAACTTGTATTAATAATAAAAAACTGTAGAGTAATGAAATGAATACATTTGCAAGCAAATATGTATACAAATGTATTTATGAGCGATATTTGACATTAACAATGAAACATATTTTATGTATTTACTTAAAACGGATCTTAGTGGAAATATCCACATTATTTTCCAGTTATGCAAATAAATCGGCCAAAGTTGTTGAGAACGATTGCAGTTAGCTCCGTGAACTACATACATTTCACAACAACACTTTATTACAATGTGTACAGATTTATTAATTGCGTCATCAGAAAATTATGTAAATATGTCTTTGTGGCCAATCAGAAAATACGCCCCAAAAAAATGTATGAAATAATATCCCCCGCAACAAAATCCTTGGTCTGGTATTAATTACATATCAGCACTTATATAATTTGCACAGCTGGTCAATACCAATATTTGTGCACGAGGCACTGAATACAATACCAATATTCACTGCGACTAATGCAGAACTAATGTGAGAAAGTTTCAATGAAAAGCTTGAGATGCTTTCCTTTTCTTTTGTGGAGTCAAGGTGTCAAAGTTTCTATGAAAAATCAACGACATTCATTTACATATTGCGATTATCAAGGGTTTTTTATGAAATTTAACGATTTCTTTCACTCATGGGACATTCGTGCATAACTAAATGGATTTTGTCCACTAATACAATCCCCAAAAATGCGGGACGTATTTAGGGTACGTCAAAATGCCCTTGAAATGCTACGCAGCAACTGTATTAATTATCTCACCACAATTTGTTGATCTTGGAAATAGTGTTATTTACATAGTTGGCTCATTCCATCTGAACCCACACGATCGTCGTCGCACCCATATTTGAGATATCTTCCACAATCTTATAGTAGATGCATGATATAAAATAAAACATACCATAAAAATCAAAATTTGAAAATTAATTTTTTTCGCAAAGATATAGCAGTTAAAAGAAAATTTGTAAATGCATTGAAAATGCTTTCGTAGCCAAAGTATAGATTCAAAGGGGTAGGTTACATTTACGGATTTCATTAATCGATCATTCATTGATAGAAAAAATTTTTTTAAATTCGAAAATTCGAAAAAATTAGAAATTTGAAATGCATTGAAAAACTCTATTATCGAGAAGACGGACAAAAATCGCTTATAGTGAGATAAGCCAATCGATGCCTTTGGGCCTGAGCAAACAAAAAAGTTTAAAACCTCAGGCGATTTTTGTCCGTCTTGGAGTTTTGGCGATTTTTCGAAAAGGTAAAATTAACATGGGCTGCTTGTGTAGACAGTAGTAACTAATTCTGTGTTCCTACGTGGCCGGGAACATTGACAAAGTGTCGGTTGTGTAGTGTTCTCTTGCAAAAGAGAGAAAAATACATGGCCAGGCAACCACCACCAGGGAGCAGGGTTTAGCACCCCTATTTCCTGGTACTCGATCAAACGTGTTGCTTACAAATGGAATGAGCCAGTTGTGATTTCCATTGTTACCCGCCCCATATAAAGGATCCCCTCAATTCATTTGGATTCAGTAGCAAATTTTTCTCCAAAATATTTCAAACCTTCCCAAAGAAAAAATCAATACGATGAAAGCCTGGGTTTCCATTGCTCTCGTGAGTGCAGTCTGCCTCGTGGGGGCCGAAGGGTTCGGACTATGGGGAATGGGGATGGGATTTGGAAGGCCCGGAATGACCTCCATGAGTATAACCTCCACGGGGAGTAGGGTCGGTTGGGGTTAGTGTGGTCACGAGGCAATTGTGGACAGTAAGGTTTTCTATGATGAAACCGCACATTTTTTATAAACAAAAAAATTCACCCCGCACCACACTTATTCTTCTTCTAAACTATAAATTTGGGGAAATCAACAAGTTAGTTATCACCTTAAATAATTACTATGAAAATTTTGTAATTAAAAAACTTTTTGGATCAATTCTATCTTGTGATATTTAAATTTGAATTTCACCAATACTAAGCAAGGTAAGTTCTATATTTAATTTCAACCCTAATAATATGTACTTGTATTATATTTCTGCATTAATTTGTAAACAAAATAATTGCGCAGTTAATTAAAAAATTGGTGTCCACACTAACCCCTCGATATTAAGGATTGAGGGGTTAGTGTGGACAGTGGTGATGGGGTTAGTGTGGTCAGCAATAATTTTTTTGGTTTTACGTTTAATTTTTTATTAGATGGTCCGAACGTATAAAAAGAAAACCAACAAAGGTGGAGGTAGTGCCTGGTCACACGAAGACATGAATGAAGCCATCATCGCAATTGAAAACAAAACAATGAGTGTTCGAAGGGCGGCGATGCATTTTAAAGTCCCCAAGTCAACGTTATTATTGAAATCTCGGGGTTGGAAAGGGCGCCAGCCAACACTTAATTCAAAAAGTGGTGGACAGAAAATAACTCTACCTGCAAGCGAAGAGGAAAAATTAGCAAAATTGATGAAAACTATGAGCAAATGGGGATTTGGGCTAAGCAAACAAGAGCTGTTGAATGTAGTCCAAGAATATGTTCAGAAGAACAACATTCCCAACCATTTCCGGAACGGGCGTCCTGGAACGGATTGGTTCAAGTCGTTTTGCTCTAGACACCACCTTACTTTAAAGAAACCAGAACTTGTTGAAGGATCAAGAGCTCGACAGTCATGTGATCCATTTATAATCTATGATTTTTTTGACCAATTGAATTCAATTATTGAAGAATTGAATCTTCAAAATAAACCGGAGTCCATATACAACTGTGACGAATCTGGATTCAAAAGTGACCCTACAACGACAAAAGTGGTCACAGTAAAAGGAGCCTCAGCTAAGCGTGTTACCGGTGGTAATGCAAGAAAGACGACAACCGTTCTGGCATGCGTGAACGCTAATGGAGACAAGATGCCACCAATGATCCTACATAAAGGTAAACGAATTTGGGATAATATGATGGGAGACACAGCATTTCCAGGGACTAGTTACGCGGTCAGTGATAATGGATGGATGACTGAAACTGTATTTACGACATGGTTCAAAAATCAATTTTTGGATTATATCAAGATTAAACCAGCTCTTCTGATTTATGATGGTCACTTGTCACACATCAGTATGGAATTAATCCAAGCTGCGATTGAAGCTGAAGTGACAATCTTGAAACTTCCACCCCACACCTCCCATATTCTGCAGCCACTAGACGTTAGCGTCTTCAAAGGCGTCAAAAGCAAATGGGACTCACTCTTGGCAGAATGGACAAAACAAAACTATGGTAGGCAACTTCCTAAAAATGAATTTGCCAATATTTTGGGTAAAGTATGGGATTCAGTTAATCCCGATGTAATCAAAAAAGGATTTGAAAAGAGTGGAATATTTCCCATCAACAGACTGCGTCTTGACCAAAAGAATTTCGATCCTGATAAATTAGCTCGATTCCAAAACAGCATTCGCGTCGCTGGCCCATGTGAAGCTGGTACTGGGAGTTCAACACCGGGGACTCCTCCCCCACCCCGCCCATCTGACATTGAACGCAAAAGTATTACTGAAGGGTCGATGTCATCCAGTATTGGAAGCTCTTCTACAATTTCGCCAAGCAGCTCATTTGAAAGTCTTTTGCTGAAAACTGTTACTCCACGTAACGAGGCGCCTGCTAAAAAAAGGAGGCGAGTTGACAATGCAGAAATTATCACCAAGGATAGCTATCTGCAGATGCTAAAAGACCAAGAAACAAGAAATCGAAAAGATGCAGAAGTCAAAGTCGAACGGAAACTTAAACTGCAAGAAGAAAGGACCGAATCCGCAAAACGCAAAGAAAAAATCAAACCGGCAGTGAAAAAAGTGGAAAAGAAAAAGCCAGCAAAAATTAAACCAATCCAAATGTCAACAAGAACATCCAAGAGGAAGAAAAATCACGAAAAACGATGCG